GGATGGTTATATCAATATCCATCATTCTTAGTATTTGCCACTGCCAGTACTTAATTTCTCTTGGATTTTTGATGCATATATTTATTTTATTGTTAATTTTATCAGACAAGGACTTTTTGTTGTTCCCTGGCATCTAAGAAATGTTCAAAGATGTTGACTGAATTATAAGTGATAAGTGATAAGTGCACAGTTTTCTATTTATATTGATAGCATAAATAGCAGATCACATATTTTGAACTTCAGTTCATGTTGGGTTGGAGTGACAGCACAGAGGGTAGGGGTTTGCCTTGCGGATGGCCGATCCAGGTTTAATTCTTCCATCCCTCTCGGAGAGCCCAGCAAGCTACCAAGAATATCTTGCCTGCACGTCTCCATGATGTATTTGACATGCCAAAAACAGTAACAACAAGTCTCACAATTTGTTGTGAGACGTTACTGGTGCCCGCTTGAGTGAATCGATGAACAACAGGAGGACAGTGCTACAGTTCATGTTAGCATGAGTAAGCAGAGCATCAAGTCTGTATTGATGATGGATTTACAAAGACACAATACACACTTGCCTTAATCTCAAAGATTTTAGATGGTGTCCCAAGGTGATTCTAATGCGCACTAAAACCTAAAAACCACAGAAATAAAAGAAAACAGAGCTCCCTTTCTTTTAAAACCCAGATGTAAGTAGTAAAAGCCAAGGAATCCAAAGTCTTAAGAGCTCTTTTCAAGACTGACATCAGGAGATGATCTGTAGAAATATCGAATTGTGGAACTGAATAACTTCTTCTATAGCATTTCCTTTGAGCCCCTCATTTAGAAGATCAGCAATCCTACCCAGAGTTTCATAGCAGTGATGGGCAGAACTGGAACCAGAATCTAGGTATTCTGAATTTCAATCTAGCGTTTTTTTTATGCTGCTTGTCTGGAACACTGTGTGAGTGATGAACTAAACTCCTCTCATTCCACTTTTCCTTGTCTAGGTGCTAAACTCTACCAATGATCAGGTATCCTTTCGCTGTTCTTTCCTGAATCTGAAATATTCGAGGTGAGAACTATAGTTTCCAGAATACAAAACTAACAATGATCTAAGCTTAGATTCTGTACCAGTCACACTGTAGATATACATATGCATCAGTGCACTTTTGGGGCAGAGAGTCCTAACACAATTAGCATAATAAGTAGTTTTCAAATAGATGCAAGGAAAGGATCCCATTTTCAAACATGAACAAAGATATAACAAGGGTTTGTGACAGGAAACCACCTGGCCCTTTTCCTTCAGCAAAACTTTAGGCTCAAAGAACATGATGGTTCTAATCTCAATAATAACTTTAACATAATGCAGCTTATGGAGTTTTGAATTGGGAAAACTTAAAATTGCTAAAAGAGAAATATTTCATAAAGTTTTGCTGCATAAAACTGCATCCTTCTAAAAAGCTCTCCAAAACTACACATTCTAATGCTGACTGCCCAGAGAACAGAAAACTGTGCTCATGGCTGGCACATGGAGCTGCCACATGGCACAGTACATTGTTGAATGCCCTAAAATTTCACATATGATTCCAATGACCACTTCACTATAATTCATACAATAAACCTTTAGCACAGAAGTTGTGAATGATGAAATAATTTGGACCCATAACTGCTTCTATTAGTGGTTTACCACCTGTTAATTTAAGAGAGCACACTCAAATCAGCACTGGAAATGATGCTGTGAACATATAATACAGCATTAAGGCAAAACAAAAATAATCCCCCTCTACACAGCTATAGAATCTCTCATTTAATCTTAACTCTCAGTAAGAATGAGTCTTTTATTACGAACATTTAAAATTATGTGATATGTTCAGAAGAGCATCTTGCATAAAATACAGCTTCCCTCATTTAAAAAACTCTTCATGTCTCTAAGTGATTCACTTTAATCCCACCTTCTACCTCTGAAATACAATAGTGGGAAACTAGCAAGAGCCCCAGGGGTTTCCAATTTAGTATCATATTTAGGGATCCAAGACACTATAATTCACTGGTAAGCATCCCTAAAGTCATATCTATTTTTCCATGTATTAAATTCTTTTTGAATAACGGGCCTTTAAAAAGCCCATATTATTGGCTGCATCATTGTGTGGAATATTTGGTTATTTTCACTCCAGTTTCTAATAGAGCTTGAGTTATCACTAAATCACCTTCATGAGTGTCATCATAGGGCTTGTCTTCTTCACACCTCTTCAGTCAATTAAAATTATGGAGTAAACAGTATCCTTTATGCCCCCATTCATGAATGATTAGAGAATGAATGAAATAACACAAACACTTTCAATTCCATGAGGAAACTGGCTTACTCATATAGCACATCCTCTTGCCACTGTAGGGTGGCACCAGCTAATCAACAGGCCTGCTTCCAACTCTGCAGCTGCGAAGACTGTCTAGCCCTGGGTCTGCGCCATCCAGCACATAAGCTGAGGGTGCCAGAAAAGAAAAGACATTGAAATGCCTGCATTCTGAGACTTCATTTTTGTGAAAAATGTCCAAGTGCTGAGTAGGAGAGAAATGGAACATTGTTAGAACCTTACATTTAGTCCATGGAGTAATGTTGCCTTTATTTGGAATCATAGATGAGGCCATATCACTGCTAAAAAAAATCACATGAACACCAAGCCTACCACCCACTTATATAAAAAAAATTTCCATGAGACTTCCAAAATAATCACTGGTGGTGGAGAATGGGCACTGGTGGAGGGATGGGTATTCAATCATTGTATAAGTGAAACTCAAGCACGAAAGTTTGTAAGTCTACAACTGTACCTCATGGTGTTTCATGAAAAAAAAAGAGAGACCTCCAAAATATTATTTCTTCTGAAGAAGCAGTCTTTACAAAGAATTAAATCTCCTACCAGTATGTATTTATCAGAATACCTTAATTAGTGCTAGAAAATTATGAAAATAAAATTGTGTTTTGAGATAGTATAGCCCTTACTTGAAATCAAGGGCTTATCAGGAAATACTTTGACAAAATTTTAGAACCATAATCCTGATGACTTGCAGTTAAACTAGTGAGTGTTAGGATTTGAGAAAAGACATTCTTTCACTATCCCCAACCCTCTCCTGAAACTCCACTTCCAGTAAGAGATGGGCATGCTGCGTTCAGAGTAAGTCCTGTGACTTCTGGTACTTGTCATTTCCAAATATACATGACTTCTCTCCTCTTGCACTATTGCTGAGCTCTGTGAGTGCATACAAACTAAAGCTATATATTTTCACCCGAGTTCCCACACTTGGATCCCCTCCAGACACCATTCTGAATATGACACTCTACTGCAGGGTAAAAAATAGTGCTTTCCTCAAAATAAAATCTTAAAAGATCCCTTAGTAGCTATTCAGGGACTGGAATTCAATTTCAATTCTCCACTCTTAGGCCAGCTGTAGATTCAAAATGGTTACATAAAACATTGAGAGTGTGTATTCCATGGCAAATTTGATTTTTCTTCGGGAATAGTTTCTTGTGCTATAGTTACCACTATATTTTTACTTAAAAAACACACAAAGCAATAATGCACCTCAACAGAAGAGAACAGATTCTTTTTAAATTTTATTTCATAGGTAGCATTGACATAAGCTTAAGATAGACTTATTACACAGTCGGTAAAATCTACACCTTCAAAACATAATACTTTCTGTTTTAGGACACTATATCTCAAAACATGACTTCTCAAATCCTTTTATTCCAAGTAGTTCTTGCACATAAATGTTACATCAAAATAGCAAAAAATGTAAACATCTTTTGCAACCTACATAAATATTATAATATTTGCCTTTATCTTAAAATCAGATTATACTCTCAATGCTTTACACAGAAAACACTGGTCAGGAGTCTATGTGTGTGAAACCATTTTTCCTTTTTTTCTTGCCTTTCATGTCGCCTACATATGTCTTTGAAGGATAACATTTTAAAATAAAACCCAGATTAAACTTCATTTCACATCTGGAACCAGTACCAGAAGTATGGAATAATCATGGGCACAATATGAGAGATAAAAAATTATTCCACATACTAAATCTGACAAGTTACCAGCAGTTTCGAGGTAAGTGAAAATAAGGACTTGAGTTCATATTTTACCCTATATGGAAGGAAGGCAGACATCTTGTCAGTATACCTCTTATGCTGCTATAAGCTTAAGTTATTTTTTAAATCATCTCTTTTTCTTTTTTTATGGAGTACAAAAGGTTGTTTTGTTCAACGGTACTTTAGCTGCTACATTTAACTGTAGTTCTAAACTGGAAACTATAGTGGATCTATGTCACCATCACTATCTGTGACAACTTTAAATACAAAATCCAAATATATAAATGTAAAGAAGCACGCACACATGCCTGGTCACGTGGAGAACACCACAGACCTTATTATTATTATTATTATTTTGCTTGAAGTGAGTTTTTGATGTTTACATTTTATTATGACTTTTAGTCTTTTTTCTTTTCCTCAGATTTTTTTTTTCAGTTAAAACTCGTTTAATCTGGAGCCCTTATTGATTTGTGATTCTGAGAGTCCTACCGAACACCTTGCTTGTGGCCAGCCATAGTTTCTTGGAGGATCAGAGGATCATTACTGAAGCGTTGTCAATTGTTTTAAATGCATGCAGAGAGAACTACAGAGGCTTTTCAAGCAGCTACGTAAAATGGCTCGAGAAAAATGATTATTTATTTTGCCCTAAAGCCCTTTAACAACATCCTTTTAAAACACCAGGAAGATGACTACAAGATGGGCACAGTGCCCGTTGGACGGGGGATGAGGGGCTCTGGGGCTCCCCAGAAAGTCTGTGCATTTGCTCTAAAAGCAGTGTGTGTGCTCTTTTTACTGCTTGTGCTTTTAAGCTCTGTAAAACCTTCCTTTTAAAAAAGAAAAACCTAGAAATGGACAAATGGAGACCCCCCCAGTAACACTGTATGTGGACTTTGCGGGAGGCAGACAACCAGGCTTGACAGCTCTTTTTCTGGAGTAGGCCCCAGGTGGTTGTCACAGCTCAGGAGCTGCTCTTGCTCTTGTCACAGCCCGTGCCTTGGGTGATGCTGTCCTCCATATACTGGCTGCCGGTGTCACTCCTGCTGAGGACCGTGGATGGCAGGCGGGAGGGGTGCCTCTCCGGGTTGGTCTCCTGAGAGAAGCAGCAAATCATCTTCTTCATGGTGCTGTACATGTCCTCATCCTTGTAGGAGTAGATGATAGGGTTCATGGCAGAGTTGAGCAGCGCCAGCAGGAGGAACCACCTCTTCACGTGCTGCACGCCACACTGTGTGCAGTTCAGGCCGTCGAGGAGCAGAACCACCAGCCCTGGGGTCCAGCATACCACGAAGGCCCCTGAAGAGAAAGCAAAGGATGTGACAGGTTCTCAGAATTGGGCTGCTTTTTCAGGTTTCTTCCTCCCCAGCCTTCAGCCAGCAGCGTCAAGAAAACTCAAAAAGGTTTGCTTTGACAGCCACAAAGCAAACTTCTTCCTTTCAGAGACCAGGAGAGGAAGTGGTGAGCTTCCTTGACTGTGAACCACATTCCATTTCCCCTTCTTATCTCCTGACCCAGGACTCCTAGGAAGGGGCTGGTATTTACCTCCTGCTTACTAAGTGCTTACTAAGCACTACAGATATCTTTTATTGGGGGGGGGTCCTTCCAAGTGGTGCTCATGAGTCCTCTCCCTGAGATTAACCTCCAACTGGGTGGCAGTTCAATGGGAGGGCTTGAGGATGAGATGCTGCTGGGGATTCATCGGGTCACCCTAGTGACGTTCAGGCAGCTCCATAGAGCAGTGCTATGGCAACTAGAGAGTGCTGAGGACTGAACTGGGCTGGGCTGCATGCAAAGCAAGTGCTTTAACCCCTGTTCATCTCTCTATCCTCTATAGTTATCTATTGGTCAGTTCTCTGAACCCTGCTAGGGGGATGTTAGGTCATTATCCACATTTTCCATGTGATACCATTTTCCATGTGGTACCGGCAGAGGAACAAAGGCATGCGGGTCCTGGGGCTGAGATCTCCAAGTCTGCTCGGATTGGGGCTGAGCATCCTCCACCCAGATCCTCCATATTCCAGTAGGCAGGGGTCACACCCACCAACTGGCCCCCTGGCACCGTGTAATCCCATCAAGGGCCAAGACCAGAGACTATAAAACCCAGCTCCTGGACATCTTATTATCTCATTCTTACTTTGGACAAAATGGCAGGCTACTGAATGTAACCTGCCCACACAGCAGAGTCTAGCAAACTCCCTGTGGCATACCCAATATGCCAAATACCAGTAAAAATGATGGGTCTCATTCTCCTAACCCTGAAAGAGCCCTTAATATGACACTTTTTAAAAAAATCTCAGGGCTAGGATGAAGGAGACGTTACTGGGGCCTGCTCGAGGCAATCGACGAACAACAGGATGATTGTGATCATGATCGACCAACTCCAAGAAGCACATGTGGGACATCACTGCTACCCTGACACTCTGGAGGAGATTTCCTAAATGCCTCCGACATGGCATCTATGCCATTCTCCTCTTAGTCTTTTAAGTCATCTGTTCAAAATCATATTCTTAATGCATTCATACTGATGCTTAATAAATACATGTTCACAGGTTAACTGTGCAGTTATCGGCTTTAGACCAAAGGTTTTGTTGAGCACAATCAACTTAATCAGTTTAGATGACTGCTTTTTTTCATTAAAGAAGAGAATTGAGTGGGATAGAATCCGATTGCTTCATGAAACTTTTGTTTAATAGACATTATGTATATCTGTTTTTTTTTTTTTTTTAGAAATTGCGCTCCCATTTGACCCAGCAATACCACTCCTGGGAATATATCCCAGAGAAGCAAAAATGTATAGTCGAAGTGACATCTGCACTTGTTTGTTCATTGCAGCACTCTTTACAATAGCCAGAAACTGGAAGAAACCTGAATGCCCAAGAACAGATGACTGGTTAAAGAAACTTTGGTACATCTACACAATGGAGTACTATGTAGCTGTTAGAAAAGATGAAGTCATGAAATTTACATACAAGTGGTACAACATGGAAAGTATCATGCTAAGCGAAATGAGTCAGAAAGAGAGGGATAGACATAGAAAGATTGCATTCATCTGGGGGACATAAAGTAACAAAATATGAGATTAATACCCAAGAATAGCTGAGATCAGCACCAGGAGGATTACTCCATAGCTTAGTGGCCAGTCGGGCATTCTAGAGGAAAGGGCAGCTCAGATAGAGAAGGGAACACCAAATAAAGGGTGTTTGGAGGATCCTCCCAGGAGGGGAGATGCATGTCGAAAGTGGACTATGGACTGAACATGTTTGCCACTCAATGCCTCTTTTGCAGACCACAACACCCAAAAAGAGAGAGAGAACACAGGGGATTGCCCTGCCACAGAGGCAGGGGGGGGGGGATGGGGGGATGGGGGTGGGGGGGATATTATCCATGGTGGTGGAAAATGGGCACTGGTGGAGGGATGGGTATCTGATCATTGTATAATCAAACCCAAGCACAAAAAATTGTAAATCTACAACTGTACCTCATGGTGTTTCACTAATAAAAAAAATTTAAAAAAATAGACATTTTGTATATCTGTCTGTACTGATGATAAGGTAAACTATTACTTATTATCGGACATATTCCAAAGCTTGAAAAGTATGCGTTTACATCATTTTAAAGCTCCCTCTAGCTCCAGTGTTCAATATGTCCCACAACACAAGCACTTTCATTCTCTCTGGCATCCCAAGAGCGGATGACTGTCACCAAGAAGAAAGAACTAAACAAGCCACATATTAAAACATATTTTGAAATTGAAATACATATTTTACATATATACATTATAAAAATTAAAGTGCCAACTTATTTTTCTAAAAAACTAATTTTTAAAATAGGATTTTTTTCTTATAAAAGTTTCCTACAGAGGCCAGAGCGACAATACAGCAGGAAGGGCGTTTGCCTTGCACGCAGCTGACCCAGGTTTGATTAAGAGCATCACATTTGGTCCCCCAAGCATGGTCAGGAGTAATTTCTGAGTGTATAGCCAAAAAAAAAGTTTCCTACGTCCCCAGCATAAAACCCTAGCTTGCATACACCTGCTATACATCTAGTAAAAACTCTAAACAGATTCATTGATTACACGTTTGTAATAGTGAAAAATTAATCAGACTGTTGCTTCCTGAGTAAATTTTAGAGGGCGAGGAGAAATGAAGAGGCAGCGAGGGAAGGGAAGGAAGAGGGAGGAAGAAAAAAGGGAGGGAGGAAGGATTAAAAAAGGAAGGCAAGGGGCCAAAGCGATAGTACAGCAGGTAGGGTGTTTGTCTTGTGTGCGACTGATCCGGGTTTGGTCCCTGGCATCCCATATGGTCCCCCAAGCACCGCCAGGAGTAATTCCTGAGTGCAGAGCCAGAGATTGCTGGGTGTGACCCAGAAAGAAAAAAAAAAGGAAGGCAAGGGGGAACCAGAGTGATGTAAAAAGGCAAAAAAATTTTTTTAAAGGAAGGGATGAGAAGAAAAGATGGTATCAAATTCCAACAACAAAAAAAGTCATAGGGGTGAAAAGAGAAACAAGTATTTACTGCTTTATCTTTATACTACTTCCAAGAACAAAGGTCAGACCTCTGACAGATCTACCCAAACACTCCGCAGTACCCGAAAAGGGTTCTGAGGGGATTTGGGATGACACTTCAACAGGAATCCTAGGAAACAGCCCTTCGACATGATCAGCTTTCCTCTCAATGCAAATTTGAGGGGATACTATTAGGGAAACTGTTAGAGATCATTTTTTTGTGTGGGGGGGATTCTCACTGTATGTCTGCTGAATATAAAATCCCCCAAATACTTAGAGGAAAAGGAAATGCCAGGAGTGGATTTGACCTTGGGAATCATGGCGCATTCTTGGAGAATGTGGGAGATGTCAGGGAAATACAAATGAGCAACTGCCTCAAATCTTAAAAGTGGGACTGAAAATGGGGCTTGAGAAATATATAGTCAGTGCCCTATATAGCTCCAATAAATTCTAGAAGAATAAAATAGACGCGTGTGTTTTCTGAGTGGTCAGATTCAATGTTTAGACTATGACAGACAGGCCATGCCTGAATCACATTAAAAAACAAACAGGCATTAATAAATAGTAGACAAAAAGATGTCTACTGGGGACACAATGTAATAAATCAGGTATATTTCTCTTAGAGAATAACGAGTCCCTCTAAAGGGCTATGGCATATATTCTGGAACATTCGAGGAGGTCACAAAAACTCATGGAGAGTGCAAAGCTGCAGAATTTGGGTACAACTTCTTATGTGAATAAGAATATTTAGGAAAGGCACTATCCTTGGGCTTTTCTAGGGAGCAGGGTATTTCCTTTGTGTGGATCTTCCTGAGATGTACAAAGGGAATGAGAAATACTATTAAGTGGATTCTGGACTCTTTCCTGTGTGTCCAACAGTTAATTATAAGAAGCCCTGAGTTTCAACACCCCAATATTCAAGCAAATTTGACTTTTTTATTATCCATAGGTTATTGTAAGATAATATGCCTAAAAACAGTTTAAGAAAAATTTTTTGAGCTAGCAATACTCATACCTTGTATCTTGCCACTGAAATTATGAGAAAAGGCTTTTGTATTTTTGTTTGGGGTTTGCTTTTTGCCTCCCAAGTGGTGCTTGAGAGGCTAGGGTCCGTGCTTCAGTAGGAGGCCCGGGCGTGCAGTACTCTAGTGCCGGGCTTACCTGGAGTCACCGTGGCAGTGCTTGGGGCTTCCTAAGTTATGCTCTGAGGGGCTCAGAGGCCTCCAGAGCCAAATTCTGTGATACTCACGGAACCATGTCATGATTGGGATCCAACTGGTATCTGCTGTGTGCAAGGCATACACCTTAACCCCTGCAGCATCTCCCCAGTCCCCCAGGGAAGAATTTTTAATAATGTGGAGTCCTTGATTCCACTCAATAGACAGAATCTCTGGGGTGGGAATCTGGAAATGCCAGAAGTTTCAAGTACCCTAGCTGATTACATATGGTACCAGACCAAGTTTGTAAACCATCTATTATGACACAAAATGGTTTAATCAAGCTGACCCTGTGAACAAAATCAAAGATTTTGTACAGACAGCAAAAATATCATTTAAAAAAGAGAGCGGGAGCTGGAGCAATAGTACAGTGGGTAGGGTGTTTGCCTTGCATGTGGCTGACTGGGTTCGATTCCCAGTATCCCATATGGTCCCCTGAGGATGCCAGGTGTAATTCCTGAGTGCAGAGCCAGGAGTAACTCCTGAGCATTGCCGGGTGTGACCCAAAAAGCCTAAAAAAAAAAAAAAAAAAAGGAGAGAGCAGACTTTTTTAAATATAGAAAATCAGCCTCTCT